CACAATGTGCTGTCCGCCTTCGGGGGCGCTGCGGGCTTCGCGACCGCCACGGTGCTCGTCGACTTGCACAAGTTGTACGAGCACGTGCGGTGGTCCCACCTGCGAGCCGCAGCTGTGCAATTCCAGTTCCCGGTGATGCTGCTGCGGGCGCTGTGCGTCGTCTACTCGGGGGGCCGCCGGATCCTGTACGGAGGCGCGGTGTCGGCGAGCTTGTTCGCCACGAGATCGGTGATCGCAGGCTGCAGCGCGGCGACGACGTTGGCCAAGCTCCTCTTGCTGGGCCCCCTCCGCGCCACGCTGTCCAACAGGCCCCAGCTGGCCCTGCGCAACGTCGTGGACGACGTGGAGCTCCAGGCGCTGGGCAACGTAGCCATGGTCGACACGCAGATGGGACAGGGAGTGTCCCAGCTACTCCGGGAGATGGAGCATCTGGACTTACCCATCTCGCTCAAGAAGTGCAAGTACATGGCATCTTCGACCGAGCTCGCAGGCCGCCTTGGACAGCAATGGCCGTTCCCGAGCCGCTGCCGCGTTCACCATGCGCGCAGCCTCGGCACAGACATCGTGGCACGGCCAATCAGGAGGGTTGGGACGACCCGGGGCCGGCAGGAGGGGGCGCGATGGAAGGGACAGCGGCTTCGCGTGCTGCAGACAGGAGGGGGCAACATCGCCATGGCGCAGAGGATGGGGCCAACTGCAGGCGCCCTCTGGGGGGGGCGCGGTGATGGGCTTCAGCGACGCCCAGCTGCACGCTCTCCGGGTTGGCGCTGCTGCGGCAATGGGGCGGCTCCCTCGCGGAGCCTCCGTCGGTCTACGCCTTCATTCACATCGCACCGGACCACGGGTTGACCCCTTAGTCATCCACTCCGGCGACGTGGTCGGCACCTGGGCAGCAGCGATCTGGGACGGCATGCCGAAGCGGCAGATCTTGCAGACCGTATTGGCGAAGGCGCTGGGCAAGCTCGACCAGGCGAAGGCCCCCTGGAGGGTGGCCTCCTCGCCAGGGGACGTCGCGGTATTGACGCTGCGCCGCCTCCGCTGGCAGTTCGAGGGCGCCGATCGCATGCGCACCGACGAAGGGGTCGTGTTGGACCTCACCCGAATGCCGCCCATGCAAGTCCGCCGCTTGGCCGAGAGCGCCGCCGTCAGGGCGTCCGACAGGGTGGCGCTCTCCACGACGGGCTCGAAGGCAGTGGCGTGGGAGGCGAGACCCGGAGCACCTGCCCGCCAGCCCCTCCCCGTTTTCTGGGAGGCACTGCAGCGGATATTGAGGTCGTCCTCCCCGGGATGGAGCACGCGTCAGCTACGTGCATTCCGGGCTGCCTTATCCAACACGCTCTGGAGCCAGGCGCGCCTGGCAGGGCATGGGCTGGTGGGCCATGGCTGCTGCCTTCGGTGCGGGATGAAAGGCACCCTCTGGCGCAAGTGCTACGAGTGCGACGCCTTGGCGGTCTTGCGCCGGGACCTCACAAGCCAGCGGCTGCGGGATTGCGCGCGCCGAGCCTGGGAGTGGAGTGAGGAGGCAGGGGAACGCTTCGCTAGAGGGATCCTGCCCAGCCCCGCCCCGATGTTCCCACGCGCGGAGCCTCAGGAGCTCATTCGCTGGGTCCGCCGCCCTGTGGATGGGCTACTCAAGGGGCGTCTCTTCACCGACGGCTCCCGGTTCCACGGCGACTTCCCGCACATGGCTCGCGCTGGATGGGCCATCTGCTCCGTGGATTGGGACGGCTACCTCATTTCGGCGGCCTACGGGCCGTTGCCATTCTGGGCGTCGCAGGAGCAGGGGATCAGGGAGGCGGAGGATGACTGCATCTCCATGTTGTGCGAGCTCGCGATGCCCCCCTTCTCCCTGCACATCGATTGCCAGGGCACGGTCGACTGCATAGCTGCTGGTCCTGGCACGGGTGCGAGCTCAAGTGACTTACGGCCGCACGTGTGGGGGCGCATCTGGGCGAGTTTCCAGGCTGACGACTTCAACGACGTTCACAAGGTAAAGGCGCACGCCACGGCCTCCGACGTGGATGCCGGACGGATCTCGTCAGCGGACAGGAAGGCCAACCTGCACGCCGACGCTCTCGCGAAGGAGGGTGCCAAGCTCCACGGTCTCAGCGAGGGCGACGTGGACCTATGGTGTGGGCTCCACGTCATTGCGGAGGAGGCTGGGCGCTGGAGCGGCCAGGCGCACGCAGCGGCCGCAGATGCGCCGGCGCCCGACGCGGACCACAGCGTCCTGGAGGGGCCAGGAAGCCACGGCGCGGCGCAGGCCACTGAGCTGGAAGCAGCTTCTGAGCCACCGCCCCCTGCAGGCCCCAGCGCCGCGCACGGGCCTGCCGCTGCCGTTCTAGAGCTCGATTGGCCACATGATTGGAGCAATTATGATAGCTGTACATTTCGAGTCGCAGGGCACCGGATGGTCAAAACGACCGTCAAGCAAGCGCCCGAACGCGTTCTTTTCTTTTGTTTTAAATGTGGAGGGTGCCTCACAGGGGCCAGCCCAGGG